ACTTAAAATAAGAATGTATCCAAATCCCTATTTTCCTGTATACTTTCAAAATACAAAGAAATAAAAGTAGGTTGAGGAAAGACATTCTGGAGTCACCGAGCGTATTGTCACAGAGCCTCTCCCTTAAGTTCGGTCACCCTGACCGCACATCAGCACGCTCTGTGGCTTCCAAGAATTTCAAGTCCTCCTTTGCATAACTGCCCATAAGTTTTCTGTTTCCAGTATTCTTTATGGCAGTGGGAATTCCTGCACTCGTCTGCAGATATCCCATGTCCTTTCATCCAGGATAATTCAATACTGTCATTGATCCTGGTATTGAGCGGGTATTCCAAGCAGTCGCTCGGTAATGTCCCTTTGTCCGGAGGTTCCTCCTTCCATCGGATAATCAAAGATCCATGCTTTGTCAACGGGACTCCTCTGCGCCGTTGACTGACAACCTCTGTGCGTTTCCTCACTTCGCCGCGCCCTATCTGCCTAGGGAGAGCCTGAAGTGTTCTACTAAAAGGATTAGTTGCAGTCAGGTTGGATCCTCTTTTCTTCCGTCTACAGATCTTGAAATAATCTGTCACAAATCTCCTCTTAAAACGAGGGATATCTTCACTCATCGTGATCCCACGAAGTGAGTGCCACTTACCACTAACAATTTCTCTGAAGAGTGTCCATTTGTTGCCTCTTCGGTGCATTCTGTCTTTACCTTGCCAAATTGTCAGGGTGGAATTGTCTTTAACAAAGATCAGTCCAGAGTCAGAGCACGAAATCAAGTCAGGGAGTTCAGTCGAATCATAAGAAAACTCAGGGTTTCCTGTAGACTGTAAGGTGGGATTTCTTCGCAATGAAGTTTCCACCATCAGCTGAGATACTCCTGTCACTTCCTTCGAAGCAAAGAGTACTACAAGACCAAAATGTTGGGGTTCCCTACTATTTATGGCTTGTTCCGCTTCAGGGTCCTTCATCAGAAGTATCCCTGTCGCCCCAGCTGTACAAGGCAGCAGAGACAAGTTGTCTCCCTGCTCACGAAAAGTATTTTCTTCTTCGATAATGGCAAACACTTCTGTCTGTCCATTATCGACGTGCACAGGCCTAGCAGAATTGTCCTGTTTATGTCGAGTCTCTAAGATCGTCAAGACGTCCAGGGAACTCTCCTCCTCATCTGCTATTCTCACCTTGGTCTGGCTTTCATATGCACAGTCCAGTGAAAGCAAATCAGGAGGTGTGTTGCCGCCATCGCAGTCAACTCCTTTGGGTGTAAAGTCAGAACTAACACATTCCATTAGGCATGCGGCCGCATCCAAGGAAATAGGGGACACAGGTTCAGCGTTATTCCCTACATCAGTCTGCTTTAATTCCTCTTCTTGCATGAAGGGACCAAAGGGGATATGGGAGTTGGGTAAGTCTTTGCCCTCGTCCTCATTAATGTCTGGTGTGTCAGTCGAACCGCTATGTCTACGGTTACAACCGTTATCACGCTTGTCACTACTGTCAGGTTCGCTCTCATTTATCTCGTCTGAGGTAATGGGAGTAAGGGGTTCCAGCAATGTAGATCTGGTCCCTTTAGAAGATTTCTGCTTCTTGTTCCATCTTTTCCTTTTAGGCTTAAGAATGGAAGTTAAGGGGTCCAGCAATGTAGATCTGGTTATCCCTAAAGAAGAGTTCTCCTTGTTGCCTCTTTTCTCTGTAGGAATAAGAGGTGTGAGATACTGTCCTCCGGTTTTTATGTTTTCTTCCTTAGCTGTTGAGTTTGGCCAAGGAGTGCACACCTCAATGGTTAGATAGTGGGCCCCCACCATATCTGCTTGAGTTTCAGCCTGAGGTAATGGGTTTTTCCTCGCATATACTCGCAGTTTCCTCAACGCTAATGTTTTCTGCTTGCTGTTTTATCCTATCTTTTTCTGCCCTCTCAAGTAGCAGTTTTCGATGAATTTCTTCACTCTTACGCCGCATCCTTTCAGCAAATCCTTCCTGAATACACTCTATCTCTCTTTCTAATTCTTCTCTTATAAGCTGTATGTCTCTTTCATACTCTACTTTCCTTAGCTGTTCCTCTCTTTCATACTCTTCTTTCCTAAGCTGTTCCTGCCTATTATATTCTTCTAGCTCCAACTGGCGCTTTTTCTCTGCAGCATTACGGGCAACCATATAATCAAAAGTATCCATCTGGCATTTAATATATGTTTCTAACTGTGCCCCTACTCTACCCTCAACTATCCCGAATTTTCTTACATCTTTTTGGTACTCGGTACGTAAGTCCATTCTATCTAGAGATAAATGTAATACTTCCCCGAGGTAGGATAAGAAGGATATGTCAGAGCAAAGTACAGTGAACTTGGCACCAGAGGAGACTATGACAGCCGCACAAAGATGTATATGATGCAAAGCAGCCTACCAGATTAACAGCCTATAGAATACTATAGCAGCAAAAGGATAAACCTATAAATGATCAAAGCGATGTTACACTCAGTCACTAATTATTAATCTCAATGATATGATGTCAGCATGTAATATGTTCTACAATCTATATCAAATGAAATATGCAAGCAAATAAAAATCATCAACTCTAACTAAGCACTATAGATTAAACAATAATCAATGTTCATGAAATGTTCAATGATAGACAGTTAACTCATATGATTTCATCAATTAAATACTTTTACAGTTATTATAATTTTAATCTTCCCAGTTACCAATTACTAAGTATGATTTTAGTCTAAGAACTGGATGAAGAGTTAAAATGAAATCTATGAAATTAAACTTTTTATTCGTTAGTCTAGGGTCTGCCGGGTTTGATCGCTGGCGGGACGCCACTTGTGTCAGGTTTTAATTCTAGAGAGCGACACAATTGTTACGTGATGTTATAAACCCCGAGACGAGATACCCAATTGTCGCTGGGTTCTATGCCGGGACGAGATCCCCAATTGTCGCTCGATGTTATAAATTCCCAGACGAGATCTCCAATTGTCGCTGGGTTCTATGCCGGGACGAGATCCCCAATTGTCGCGCGCCCACGTGGGTAAATACACTGATATAGTGAGGGTGTGGGTTTGAACCTTAACAATGCCCACCCACGTGAGAAACTGGACTATTATCTAAGCTATGTTGATCCTAGACAGTCCTGGATAGCCAAGAAAACAGCGAGTGGCTCGTTCCATGAAATGAAAGTTGCTGTACTTGTATCCACAGGAGAAGGAGAAGGGATAGATAGATATCTGGATACACCCACTGTGATATAATCCAGGTGCTCATTTAACCCCTGCGACTGGTCTCCTTTCCTGGCATTACTTAAAAGCCCCCATCAAGTGATTTAAATATTTGTTAGCTGAAGTAAACTAATATGCACAAAGACACTTGAACCTAAGTACACAATTTACTCAAGTAATGTTGTTACGACATCAAAAAGATTTATTTTAATAAATCGAAATTAAAATAAAATGAACTTGTTTAGGCTAGTAGAGTTGGGATGATGTTGATGAAATCATAAAAGTATTGGAAAGTAACTTAGCTCATCAGGACAGTTCTCGGCTTGAGACCCTGCCTATCTTTTCCAGTTTGTCGTCCTCACTGCTTTCTGCAGGTCGTTACACTCGACGGTCGGCAAATAATGGAAGCCTACTAGTCCCTGCCCAATGTGGGAACTGGAAAAATGAAATCACGATGCCAAAAGTTCTGTCTCAAGCTTAGGTTAAGCCCAACAGATGGCATGTGCTAGACAGGATCTCATTTCAATTAAGCTGGTCAACAGCCTAATAGGGTATCCAAGTCCTCCCCTGTGGGTACACCTCTCAGGCTACTTCCCACGCTAGGATCCATCAAGCAATAAAGTCACACCTCTGGCTACTTCACCTGCCATCACGACGGTGTCAATCCTTCTGTTAACACTTTCTGCTCACCATGTCAATAGTGACCGTCGGACCTGCCGTCGAGTTAGGTAACCTCAGGGGGAATTAAACACAATTAGCCGGAGTTAGCTGCTCCTAAAAGTCTGGCTAGGAGATAACATTTCTGACACCAACAGATGGTGTGCAAATCTCCAGTCAGTAAGTCTGCTTGGTCAGTCTTATCTCTGTACCTTAACACTTAACATCTGGGAAAAAGTTTTAGTGTGTGATATCGCCAACATCCCAGGAGAATTAAATGCTTGTTCATTTCGCCTACTTAGATTAAGGATGTATCCAAATCCCTACTTTCCTGTATACTTTCAAAATACAAAGAAATAAAAGTAGGTTGAGGAAAGACATTCTGGAGTCACCGAGCGTATTGTCACAATGTTGACTACGCATCCCTTCACGATGCATCACACAACCGTACGCAGCCCTACACGCAACCGTGTGATGATAGGTAAGTGTGTCGTTTGTTTCGTTGGCTTTTTCGATCACTGTTTGCAGTGCGGCCAAGGGAGAGAACTCTGACTAAGTCGTCCAAAGCTTTTTATTCTTCGTCCGGATTTGACAGGAGAGCCGGACATTGGGTCTGTTGGGACATTGGGTCTGTTGGGACATTGGGTCTGTGCAGTGTGTCTGTTGAGGCAGTGGGTCTGTTTTTTTTCTTCACAACACAGAACACCGGAACCCACAAGGGGGGCAAAACTAACGTTAGTCTCCCCGCGGACCTCTCATATACACACTAGCTCACTTCTGATTGGTAGTTTCTGAACCTGTCACCTTGGCGCTTGGTTACGGGAGTGTTCCGCAATGCCGTTGATATCGCGTGTTGTATATTTCAGCACGCCTTCGCTTTTAATACTCCAAAATCATGGACAAACTGGGTCTAACACAAATCCCCCCCTCCCCGAGAATGCTGCAACTATGTCACAGGCGTTCTCTTTCTCAGAATAAAAACGTAAATGCAAGACAACGCAGAAAACAAATAACAGAGCGGCACACCCGTAACCTGCACTAAAGTAAACTGTAAATTAAACGTGACCTACTCTGTTTAGGGAGACTAACTTAAACCTTACCCACAGGGGAAATACTAATTCAGCGACTATTCAAACATCTGACTCACAGTTCATACCTGGAACCTTTCTTTGAACCCAACGAAACGGAATCTTTCCTCCCTCCTTCCCCGCGTTTCTCATTTCTTAACCTTCTCTTTCTGCCCGACATCACAAGTACCTGGCTAGTTTTGGCCTCCCCTCCGGAAACAATCATGTCAGCA